TTTTTGTGTGGAAATTTTTTTTTAATATATATATATATATATATATATATATTTTTTTTTTTTTTTAAAGAATATAAGGACAACATTATTTGTCATTTTTGCCTGACTTATTCCCAAATTAGTTGTACCTTGAGACTGGATCAAAGTTTGGTATGTGGTTGTGTAAGCTGAACAACTTGGTAGTCTTGACATTAGACCTTTTCAAAAAGAGGTCCTTAGTTTATTATCTTGTATTATACATTTATATGCTACACCATATTTGACCTGTTGTTGGTTAATCAGGGAAATTTGTAGATATTTATTTGTATATAATAACCATGGATAAATATTCTACACCACATGTCATGTAGATTTTTTTAGTATGCAATATCATGTATATATTTATTTTGGTCTGTGGCTGTACAACTGATCTGCTTGTTCAAATACTTTGTTGTGGTGGTTATAGCTATGGAGGACTTTTCTACTTACACCCTTTAAGCTCATCACTGTGTTTCTGCATGAAGCGAGTCATGCAATTGCTTGCTGGCTCACTTGTGGCAAGGTAAAACTTTAAATGTTGTACTTAATGCTCTTTATGATAGATGTAGATTGTAGACCACTTTTGGAGATTTTTTTTTTCCTTTACAATGAGTTAGAGGTTTAAGCTTGTATTCTATGCCCTGAATTATATGAAATCCTAGAACTTCTGGTGCCAACAATGGCTCTTATTGTTATATATCATCAAATATGTAGTCACTAGCAACTTATTTATGGAGAAGTAGGATAGCTTCGAAGTTCATCTAATATTAATGGTCTATTTTGTTTTGTCGCATTTCCAACACCGAAGAGTTTTTTATTTCACCAACTAAAAGTCATTAGCAGTTAGCAGGCTGATTTAAGATGGTAATTTTAGTTCACTAAATGAGATGCTTATCGAAGATGAGTTTAATGTTTAACTTCAATGCTCCTAGGTAGAATGTAAGCACAAGGGTATTGCCAAATCATTAGTCAATTAAGAATGGTTTGAGTCACTATAAGAACACATTTCTAATACCGAGAACTTAAAAGAATATAATAAAATGAAATACCCAGTAGTCATACTTCAATATAGATTGGTTTAATCTTCGCATCATGAAAAAGGAAAAACTAGTTAGACTTTTAGCGTAAAATTGTCATAGAACCCTCTTTCTCATATTATGATTGGTCTTGTCATGTTTGTGGAATATAGAAACATGAAAATAGCAACAAACTATTAAACTGTCCACTAATCTTTTGTTTCAAGCAAGAGCCAAACATAATTCTGGTTTTGAAAGGCAGAGGTTATAGAAGCAACTACTTTAATATTTTTAACTGCTGGCAGGCTGTAAGCTTCTTTATACTTATATCTTCTGCATACTGAATCATTGTTAGTCTGATGTCAATAGGTGGAGGGAATTCAGGTTCACGCAAATGAGGGTGGGGTAACCCAGACACGTGGTGGCATATACTGGATTATCTTGCCTGCTGGATGTAATGCACTTTTCTCCCTTAATTTTTAGTTAACTCGTTAATTATTATTTTCATGCTACACAATGTTTTTAATTATATGATATATATAAAAATTTACGCAATGGGGGTAAAATGTTTAAGTTAATTTAGAATCAGGGACTTATGGATAGCAGTTTTATAAACTAACATCACCACATGTGCTATGGCCTATGGGTTTGACGTGAAATTGTGTACATGCAAAATGGCAGCAAATCACGAGATTCATAGATATGTTGATATTCTATATTTTGAATAGACACATATGCTTTGAATTTGTCATGAGCACTTTTCAGTTGCATTTACCATTTTTCTGATTGGTTTTTCCTCCAGATCTTGGTTCATCATTTTGGGGTATGGCTTTGATACTTGCATCCACAAAACTTTTCACTGCAAAAATAGCTGCTGGTTGCTTTATTGCTGCTCTGATTATTGTGCTCTTTCTCGCAAAAAATGTAAGATGGGTTATAGATGCAGTTGTTTTCTATCAAATATATCAAAGCTATTTGGGTCCTGACTTTTCTCTGTTTTCTTCTGATTTGCTACATGCTTTTGTCCAAAAAGTGGACACTACGAGGACTCTGTATTGGTGAGTGATTTTATGATCTTCTCAAGTAAAATGGAAAAAAAAAACGGAAAGAAGATATTGACATTTCTCACATTATTCTTCTTGATCAATGATTATCAGGGTTTATTGTTTTTATTGCTGTAATTTGGCTTCTGCAAGAGAAAACAACGGTCCATATCCTTCGCTATGTCATTCTCTTTATTGGTATGTTCCTCTTCATCCATTTTCTATAAATTATTTGAATTTGTTTCTGGTAGACAATTGTGTCATGTCTTGTGAAATATATATGGTTAATGAATTTAATGCAAGCAGTAAGGTGGAACAAGTCAGGGACCAACTATTAGGCTCAAATCATAGGAAACTAGGATTTGGAAAATCTATATGCATAAGAAAAAAGAAAGGTTTAGGGGGGAGATAATTAGTTTCAATTACTTGAGTTGGCAAGTTTGTTAGGCCATGCAGCATAGTTTTCTCTGAGGAGGAGGTTAGTCATTTTGGTTGTTGGTAGAGAAATAGTTTTCTCTGAGGAACTTAGGCTCAGGTGGTTCCTTGTAAGAGCACAAACTCTTTCTATTTTCATTGATAATATTCTCTTATTTTATGGTTTTCTACCATATATAGACAACTAACTAATTATGATTTGATTTTCAGGTGTGATGAACAGTTTGTTTTCAGTTTATGGTATACTTTCAAGAACCTTTTAAATGGTTTATTTTACCTTCGATAATAAAACTTGTGATATCACTTACATCACATGATTAAAATTTGCATGATGTAGATATTTACGACGATTTAATATCTCGAAGAGTCCACTCTAGTGATGCTGAAAAGTTTGCAGAAGTTTGCCCATGCCCCTGTAATGGTGTAGGATGGGGAGTTATTTGGTGAGTTTTGCCATAGAGAAACACACATGAAAGCAAAGATGTCTGTTTTATTTTGGGCTGAAAGTTTCTAGTTTTATAGGATTGGAATTTAGAGTATTTTTGTCACAATTTATACTCTAATAAATAATAATTCGTTGTTTATGAACCTTGTTTTCATTTTGCTACACTGTTTTAGTTTCTATTAGATTTAACTGAAAATTAAGTTCTTCAAGCTTTACAAAAATCGATAATTAAGATGGTCAAATAATGTCAGTTGTCACTAATATTCCTTTCTGCAATGCGTTCCACTTTCAGGGGGTTGATATCATTTGCATTTCTTTGCGGATCTTTGTACCTTGGCCTGGTCATATTATCATGAGGTAAATAAACATTTTCTATTAAATATCTCAAGGAGTTAACCAATCAGTTGGATGCATTCCTCCCACATTAAATTGAGCATGAAAAATTATTCTGATTCAATGTCAACTGAAAAAAATATTCACTTATGATCGAAATACTTCTATATTAATTCATTCATATGCCAACATACAGATGTAAAAAGGAAAATTCTTTTGATGGTATTTTAAGAATTTGATAAATTGTTATGATGACACATATCTTATTCTTTTTGTTTGCAGGTTGAGAAAGTTGTATCCAAGCTGTTTGGTACTGCAAAGAGCTTGACTCTTTCTAATTTGATGTTTTGTATTCTGATTTTTCTATTTTATTTTTCTGGTGGGAATTGTTACTCCGATGCCTTCATTCTTTGCAGCCTATTTTGGGTTGCTTGATAAATGATTGCTTTTGTATAGAAACTTAGTGAAATACAGGTGAGTACTTCCATAGATAGATGCCTTTGGCACTTTGCTGCTATTACTCTATCAAGCTTTTTCCTCCAAAAGTTTCAACTACATTTAAAACATAGGGGCATTTGAACCCTAAAATTTAAGCTTTTTGAGATATAAAATTAATTATTAAATTTGTATAGTTATGTTTAAAAATTAAATCTTTTTAATTGATAATAAAATAGTTAAATTATGTAATATTTCTTGAGACATATTTGAAATGCAAATAAGATTTTATTAATTTTAATTTTAAAATACTGTACTCTAGAATAGTATAATTAATAGTATTTTATAAATTGTCCACGTGATTAAAAAATTGACTTTTAAAAATGCTAATTAATGCAGGATACAGATTATGAAATGAAAGGTCATTTTTTTTATAAAACTGAAAATTCAGAAGTTTTGATCCCTACTATTATTTGACATATGTTTGCAGGATTATGTCGCAGTATCATTAACATGTAATATTTTTTTTTTTTTTAAGATACTTAAAAAATGATATTTAAACCAAACACTGCAGGCTAAATTTAGCGATTTCATATTTTGAAAGAATGAAAATCATAATATATTTTTTTTATAAGAATCAAAACATTTTTTTATAGATACTAAAAATCTGTTTGGAGTGCGTAGCCTTTAGCAGGAAGATATTCATGGAAAAAGAGTCAAATTTCTTTATTGCAAAATATAACATTCAATATCGTCAATGCATTAATTTCAGTAATATAATATTAATAAAAGCTTTCTAAATTAATGTAGTCATGATCTTTCCATTTTGGGGGTAGCTAGGGTAGAGCAAAATGTATTGGACATATTTTAAATAAGAAAAACAAGTTTTGTTTAAATATAACTCATTGTTCTTTTGTATTACTAATTAACTTCATTTGTTAATGTATTAAGATTGGATATTTTAGCAAAATTTTTTCTCTTAACGCATGGAATTATAATATTTCTAAGTTATTTTCTATTTTGTTATTAAGTAAGGTTTTAATAACTTTTATTGTAGAAAAACTTGACTCTTGTAAATGTCGAAATTGGAAGTATAATTAACACAAGATGTATCAATCTATCAATAAGTGAAAATGTCTATGCTTTTTCACTTCCTACTAACCATTGGTAAAGTTAAAAAAAAAATAGTTATTTTCTTTATATAAGGATCCCGAAAAACATCAGAATTGAATAATACTGCGATAGACGTTTTGTCACTTTGTATTCAATTTTATATTTTGATGATTTTTTCAAGTATAATAAATATTTATTTTAAATTTATAGATACACTTAAACCTTGTGAAAGCGATTTTAGATTATCATGTTAAACTATTGTTGATCAACTAAATTTTTTGTTAACCTTTTGACATTAAAATTTCTTTGAAAACACTGTTATCAGTTACCGAGTTATAAATGTTAAAAATCTGAAGAATAATTAAGAGAACCTAATCTAAAAAGGTGAAACCGTAAAACAAATGTAGACATCCAATCCATAATTACATATTTATGTAATATGATTATAAATTGTTCAACAGTGAACACAGAGAGCTATATCTTCCAAATGCCAATTAACTCCGTGAGGCTGCAACCAGTGTTGAGAGCAAAATGGTGGTGGCCACATGGATGCAAGGCCTTTTAAACAGTGACAAGAAAGATAAAGTTTGTTATTTCGTTGATAGTTTGTTACGATTTCTTTTATATCATGTGTGTTAGTTTGATCATATTGGTCAGAACATGTATCAAAAGTTAATAGTTCAAATAGTTTTACATGTGTGTTTTTTAACTAAAAAATTAAAATTTGATCTCTAAATTGAATATCAAATCAAAAATAAAAGTATTACTTATTTTTATAGTAACCGATCCAATGAAAAAGAGTTATGCATCTTCAATAAAAGAAAAATATCAGCTATAACATAACCAGATCGATCAAGTCGTGATTAGGTCATCTTGGAAGAGACAATATCGACTATGCCATGACCAAGCATGTTGGTTACTTGTGAAGTAGAGATACCGAGGCTCTAACTTCTCTAGAACATATATCAATCTACAACATGCATATATCACCCTTTTGGTTCCTGTAACGTGTTCCCTTCAAAATCAAGCAAACAAAAAGTTGAATTAACACATGGTTTTCCTCAGTATAGACACACAAGTACAAAAATGAAATAAGTGATGAATATATATAAAAGAAAAGGCTACTACTCAGCTTTTGCTGAAAAAAGATGTTTTGGAGATAGGTTTTTTGCTTAGTATTCAGCTCCTTACCTTCCATTAGGGAAACGAAAATTTTGTTGGAAGTGCTGTATGGTTTTCCGATACTTATCACAAGTGTAGAAGTATGCTTTCAAGTTCCTTTCAAAGACTTCCAGCATTCATGTAAGCAAGTTAATTATGACATGAATACTGGAAGCCTTTGAGGGAACAAGAAGAGTTCTTCTGTGTTAACCTCACCTCACTAGCTAGCTATGGTTATATGTGTGTGTTGATGTTAGCAAAATACCTTAGGGTTCGTATTTATAGGCAACAATGGTTGGCCCTTGCTATCAGAAGGAGGCTAATTCGAATCCAATGCAAGGTCATATAGCTTATTCGCTTTATTATTCGGTTCTCCATCTTTTTTATTTTTATATATACGACAACCAAGCTTATCTCTACATCGTTATATGTAAAGAATGATAATATAAAAGGAGGAATAAGCCAAATGTTTGTATTCCACTAACAAATATTGTGACATTAAATGAAGTTCTAGAATTCATGTGACAAGCACTATACTATACTATATTGGATGAGCCTCCTTTGCTATACTTTTTTGGTGACACCCTCCTTGCTATATACATAATGTGCTTTCTAACTTTGTAAATTTAAAAAATATATATACAAGTTATTACAAAAGTGAATAAATTTATTATGATAATTTATAATTGAATAACGGTGTAATCTTTTTATTTTTTATTTTTTTTTATTATTATTTTTTTACATTAATATCAATACATATACTATTCATCATATATTTAACTAAATATTTAATAATGGTACAAATTATATAACGATGAAATACTTGTGACCTTATTATTTTGTGGAAAAGTTAATGTTTTAAAGGAAACAATATATCAAAGTAATAACTGATACAAAGATCACATTTGATGTTACTTTATAATTTAAAATATATATTTTAAATTTATACATGTTAGTTAAATTTAAAATACATATTAACATAATAATATATTAAATTAAATAATGGTAAAGATTTCAAATTCAAATTTTATATATATATAAAATGGTTGAGAAAGAAAATCTCACTTAAAATAATCAATCAAATTTTTTTAATAAAAATTAATCATCAACAAAATCAGTGAATATTATGCATCAATAACGTGACTATTAAAAAAATTAAACTATAGTCATTAGATTATATTTCACACTTCAAGCAAAAACTAAAAAGAAAAAAGTCACAGATATGTGCAGGTTGATAAAATTGAATGAAATTAGAAAAATAAAGAGGTTGGAGGAATATAATATGTGCAGGTTGTCACGGATAACTTATTCCAAATGGAAAAAGTCACCAAAGGCCAAAGTGATATCCGATCTGTTTTTGGATACTGCATGCATGCATATTAGAATGTCAACGCACCAATTAGCAACTATAATTGCACTCACATTTCTTCCATATATGTTCTGTGCCTTTCACTTTGAAATATCCATGGCCACAATTAATTGCTAATTATAGATAATTAGACACAGAATGCCTGCATAATCTGTGTGCTAGCTAGCTCAATACTCAATCTCAGTAATTAGTTACTGCATCATGCATTTTCATGCATACATTAGCTGTTTAATATATAGACTTATTGATTTAGTTAAAATCACTAAAATGCATAAGGTAATTTAGTGAAAATTTGTTGATATGATTTTCAAATTGTGCCATATATGTTTGTAATTAAAGATTTTTTTTTATCTGACAAAAAGGAAACCACAAACAGCCAAGTTCAGTGGGAACAAATTCTAACCATTTGTGATCAATAAAGTAACCTTATCTAAAATACGGTGAATCAAACTCTAAGCTAAGAAAAAAAACATGTCCATGCAAGGTGTCTTAATTATTTGAAGTAATTGTGGGGTGAGAGAATCATTCTGTATCAGCTAGCTGTGTATAAATAGGTATTGGTTGTTTGTAATATTATCATCAGCAGCATGTGCATTTAAAAGGAGAAAGTCTTCTGTAACCCTCAAAGGCTTCCGTTGCACCATATATGTTACCGTCAAATCAATCGTTGATTAGAAATAACTATGATGTTACGGAAGTAATTTGGGGGTTCACCGAAGTCTTTAAACCTATCTTCTCATCGATCGGTTTAATGAAATCAGTGACTTTAAACACTTTATTTGCACGACAACTTTAGCTTATTGATTTTCATTCATCATCATCTAGTAGAACAAATTGGTTTGTCTTCAAATTTCTTGAATTTTCTCATTAAACTTTTTGTTTACGTAAACCAATTAATCTAGTAGAGCATTTAGCAATAAAGTACAAACATTCCATGATAATAACCACCTTTGAGTGAGACACATTTGTCTCAAAAGCATCACAGACAAGATTAATTTTTGCATGGCTTGCAACTAGTTTAAAATGCTGGTTATAGGAAATTAGTTTGGGAGACCAACTCTTTAATAGCTTATAAATTAATTTCTAGATGGTTTTTCTTCTTGGCATCCTTGTGCATCCATTAACATTATGATGATTGACTATTCAAATATATATGGTTTATCTTTTGATAGTTTATTTGTATTGTGTGACCTCTTAATCCTTTAATTTTAACTAACACTGTAAGTGTAACCTTTGTAAGTTCTTAGTTTTTGTCTTAAAATTTTTGAATGATAAAAAAAATGCATTATGGACGTTTGTAATACTTTTTCAGATTTAACTTGATTCATAATTTTTAAAGTTTTATTAATATGTAAATAAAATATTTCATTATAATATAATGAATTATGTTATTTTAATTTAAAATTTGAATCATTAATTTTACTTGTTATATTATAATCATGTAGTGTCCATTCTTAATATTTTATATTTGTTGATCTATTTCAAATGAATTAGAGTCAAATTGTAACATTGGTAGGTAAGGTTGTTTCCTTAATGATTAGCTAGATTGGTTGATTATCAATTAGTTTAGAAAAATAATAAATGGGAATATAAAATATATTTACAAGTTTCCTTAGCTTAATTCATTGAAAATGAAAGATCAAATTGTTGAAACTTAAACAAATATCAAACAAATAAAAGTTGGAGAAGTTCAAATATGAGATGTTTAATTGGGGTTAAGTTTCACTATTTGTATCTTTTAGTGATCTTGAAATTATATATGTGTGTGTTAATCACTCTTCATTATTTTGATTAGAATTAAATTCACTTAATATACTAATTTCTTGATAAAGAGATTTTAAGATTTCTCCATTGAATATGAATTCCTTGTATATTTAAGAGTGAAAATTGTATTAAGAAAAATCATTTTTAAACTAGGGATCTAAGCGTGCTCTATTTCTAACAACTTGGATCAAGGTGGTTTATTTCAAGTTTAGAAAGCATTTTCCGATTGAATTTTAAATTTAAAATCAATTAACGAATGATTAATACATAAAAGCTTTTAAAAGAAAAATGAAGTCACAATATAATGAAGAAATCACAATATAATGAAGAGATCACAATAAATAAATAAATAAATAAATAAATATATATATATATATATCAAGAGTAATAGATCATATAAAAAAAAAAGATCAGTTACTCATTTCCACAAAGAGCCAACTAGGAAGATGATGAAGAAGAAGAATTTAATTAGAATGTTGTTATTTTGTCCTCAAATGTCAAAATTGTCTCTAAGATCTTTAACTTCAATAGTCTTTGATGGTGAAGTGAGACGGGACGACATGAATGAGAGAATTATTTTCCACCTTAAGTAGGCTGTGATTTTCAAAATAGAATAAACCTTGTTTCAAAGAGAAGAAACGAAATTTACTTGAGCTTTTGTTCAAATATTTGAGCATTGAAATTTCACTTGAACTAAAATCTTGTAGAAAATGATTTTAAGTTTCTGTCTCAAATTCATTCAAACTTTTGTTCCAATATTTGAGCGAATTTGAGAAAGCTAGAGTAAATTTGAGACTGAGATTGCATGCATTTTTATCAAATTTATTTAAGCTTGTTTCAATGTTTGGACGAATTTTTTACTATTTCATTTTCATTCTTCTTTCTTCCGAATTTGTTCAAAAATCTCCAGTTCTCTTCTTCCTCTCTTTATCTAATTTTCTCTTTATTTGTCTTACAAAATAACACCCACAATAAATAATGAAAAGTATATAATAATTACAATAGATTAAATTAAAATGAGATAAATATAAATATTTTGTTATTGATTACAATTTTTTTTAAAAGAGAAAAGTTATTCTAATTTACAACTAAAACATGCATAATAGTCTAGTAAACTTGATAACAATAATTTTTAATCAATGTGAAGAAATTAAACTCATCAAAAAGTTCTTTGGAGTGTATCGGAAACCTACATCAGGAATATAATTCCATTCTCACCTAAGGAGAATCATTTTGTTATATTAGCCGATCAGACAATTAATACATATGGTCACATTCAAAAAAAAAAAAAAAAATAAATATATATATATATATATATATATATATTATTTGTAGAAAAAAGTATTTTTTATATATATAACAATGAGATATTAACACACAGTAAATTAAATCTATTCAAGAAACACTCTTTATATATACACAGGTAAAGTGAATTTTTGCATTTCAAATAGATGCAAACACTTTAATTACAATGTACAAATATATTTTGTACCTTTTAATTAATGTCAAGAAATTAAAGTCATTAAATGACCTTTTTTTTTGGAAGAAAACTGTCTTTCTTGAACTTTGTTTAAAACATAACGATTATTCGGATATTGATAAGTTTAAATTATTTTTAGACCTAAAATTGTTAAAAGAAATTACACAAGTGAAAAATACTATTTCTACTTCATAAAAAAAGTGGAAAGTAATATATTAATTGTCTTTTCTTTTCATGCATTTTCTGTTAAAAAGAATGACCTATTCAATTATATAAGATGACTTTTTTTTTCCTTCTTCTAAATGAAAATATTACTTATAGAATAATGTTAATAATTTCAACAAGTATTGTTTTGATTAAAAACAAATATAAGATCGATAAGATTTAAATAAAAGTAACATAATTTTAACGGAAGTCTTATTTTATTAAAAAAGAATATTATAATTTTAATTATAGATATAAGTTATATATGGCTTCTATTTTTACATTTTTTTTGTTTAGTTTCAGTTGCGCTTTCAAAGTTTTAGAATTATTATTTTTATATAGTTTCAATTTTTAATTTCTACACAATGATGAGAAAAATTCTCTCGTACATATCACAGTAATTTCATTTTTTGTTTT